CAGTCTGGGTGACAGAGTGAGACTCCAACTCAAAAAAAAAAAAAAAAGAAGTATTGACAAACCTAGAAAAGGAGCGAGTTTGTTGGATTCTTTACAAATTCTCTAAAATCCTAAAAATGTAAACTCATTTCCTTTAAGATATTTAGTTTCAGACTTACCACGTTTTATATTAATCATTAGCTTGGTCTTGTAAACTAGAGCTCCTTACATGTATGAGTAATAAATCATGACAGAAGATGCTTAGTCCCAAAATTGTTTCAAGACACTTTAACAAGGTAGAATTAACGATATCTAAACATTAGTTCATGTCAAAGGTCACATGAAGGATTTATAACCTAACCATAAAGAGGGGAAGCAAGCCCGAGAGGTAACTAACCAACTGAGACCAGAGACTAAAACAAAGAAAAATAAACTGTGAAAACCAAAGAAACAAACAAGGCTGCCTCAGTCTGTACAGCCCACTCCTCTTTTTTTTTTGAGTAGAAGTTTCACTCTGTCGCACAGGCTGGAATGCAGTGGCACGCCCACAGTCACCTCAGCCTCTACCTACTGGGCTCAAGTAATCCTTACACCTCAGCCTTCCAAGTAGCTGGACAACAGATGTGCACCACCACACCCAGCTAATTTTTTGATTTATTGTAGAGACGAGGTCTCACCAAGTTGCCCAGTCTTGAACCCCTGGCTCAGGCAATCCTCTTGCCTCTGCTTCCCAGAATCACTTCTCCCGGTTCGCCTTGCTTGCAATAAAACTCTGCCTTGCTGTCCTGAGTCTGGTGTAATGCCTAAGTCTTTGTTCACGAATAACCAACAAACCCTAAACCAGCTTTTCAGCTAACAGTTTTGTTTTGCTTTGTTTTGTTTGAGTTGGAGTCTCACTCTGTCACCCAGACTAGAGCACAGTGGCAACTCCCGGCCACTGCAGCCTCAACCTGCTGGGCTCCAGCGAGCCTTCCGCCTCAGCCTTCCAAGACAGTTGTTTTTTATTTGTTTGTTCATGTTTCTGTTTTTAAGGAGAAGAACATGTCCGTCTGTTGAGAGAGGAAGAATCAGTGGGGAGAGAAGCAGTAAAGACAGAGCTAAGTTCACCAGTTCTGTCTATCAAGAATCTTAAAAGTATCAATATCTATATGAAGATGTGTTCATTGTGATATTTATTATAACACAACATTGGAAATAACCGAGTGACCATTAACAGGGCAATGGGAAATTCTGGTTCTGGCCAGCCTCATTTCCTTTTTACTTCTACACACACCTGGACACCTCACCTTAAACAAAACTGTCTGGAGGCCAGGTTGCATATTCTATTTTGTGGATGCTAATCCTTCACATCACTAGATTTTTGAATGACAATAATATGCATGCACAGGCTTAATGCTTCCTGATATCAGGACATGAGGGAGAAAGAGCATTCGTCACGATTTACAATCCTTGGCTGAGTACTTACTATTATCCAAAGCCTAGGCTTCCCAATGGACACTGGGTCGGTCTCTCAAGACCTGAATCCCAAGGTTAACAAAAACATACAAGTCTGCTGTCTTTAAACAAACAAACAAACAAATGTTTGAGAACCACCCACAAAGACCCAGAAAGAAGAACTCTAGAATCCCAAGAGAGAGGTAGTACACTCTTAGTACTTTCTCACACAGAGCCCATGTCTCTGGGTCCCTTAAAAGCCAGGCATGGTGGCTCACACCTGTAATCCCAGCACTTTGGGAAGGAGAGAGGATTGCCTGAGCACCAATCTGAGCAACTTGGCAAGACCCTGTCTTTACAATAAACCAAAACATTAGCCAGGTGTGGTGGTATGCACCTGTAGTTCCAGCTACTTGGAAGGCTGAGGCTAGTGGCCATGAGCTTGCCACTGCACTCCAGCCTGGATGACAGAGTGAGACTCCAATTAAAAAAACAAAACAAAGCAGTCACACAAAGCAGAAGCTAGGGATCCAGAAGAGACAGGAAGGGTGTGGAGTCTCTGCAGAGCTCAGTTAGAAAGTCATTGTGTGCAGAAAGTCTGGGCAATGCAGAGTATGATCATCAGGATTGTGTCTGGACTTAAACTTGGCTTTTGATTGGTATGTAATTGTGGAAAAAGCATTAATCTTTTTGAGCATCAGTTTTTTCACCTCGAAAATGAAGTTGATAGTATGTTCAATGAAGGTACTTGCAAGGTAAGTGTCTAGTAAATTGTGATTGCTATTGCTATTATTATTAGAGTGAGAGGGAACAAAGGTGAACTTTACACAAGGAAATGAAGAGGAAAAAGGATATAGAGGAAAACGATATCTAAACATTAGTTCAAATTCGAATCAGTGAGTTCCTAATTCCAGAAACACAATTCATGAGAGCCTGTCCCCACCTCTCACCCTAAGGCACTCGAATCCTTCTGAGAACTCACCCTTGATGGCCTCAGCTCCTTGGAGACTCAGCAGGAAAGTCAAGGAGAAGACTCTCAGGATCACAACTCTAGTCTGGGTCATTCTTTCTTCAGGGTACACGTTGTGGAGTCTACAACTGATGACTGTGAGCACAGAAGCAATGGTGAGGAACTGATGCTGGGTTGGGGCAGACAAGAGCTCTGAAACTATGGGCTTCTAACACTTGAAAATAGCCAAAAGGGATGGAAAGGAGTCAGCATAGCTGGGCTCAACCAATCAGAGACATAATAGAGCTGACATTCTCTGTTGCTGGGTAAAAAGAATCCTGGAAGGGTCTGGAGATGAGATGCAAGAATTTTCAGGGACCAGAATGGTCAAAGGAACTCCAATTCACAGTTCATTTTTAGAGTTAGAGAAAAACTTGAAAAGATAAGTCATACTTTCTTCTGCTGACAGATGTCTTATATGATGTTCCTTCATTCCATACACCCACTCCCAAAAATTCAGATGATCTTTGAAGTTTTTAGCCACTATTTTTTTTTCTAAATGATGCTTTATTTCATCAAGTTTACAAAAATGTTCTGTTGATGTTTAGAAATAAATACTCTATCAAATAAAAATATGTAATTAATCATTCAGGCTCACCAACCCGAGATACCTATTTTTTATGTAATTTTTTTTTTTTTAGAAAGCAAAATTTATTGAGAGGACAGAAAAGCTCCCACAGTGGGAGGGGACCCAAAGGGGTTGCCCTATTTAATCTTTGATGTAGAAGTTTTAGTTTTCATTTAGATGTTTTAGTTAACTTGATGAAATGGATCTTTAAGTATTTTTCTATTCTTGGCTACCTTTGTTAGTGAAATTTCTACATAATTCTTATTATCCAGATTTCGTATTGCTTGAGCTTTCATGGCATGTAAGCCATCTGAAATAATAATTTGGCTCTTTAAATTACTAGTCATGCTATTTCACTTTCATAGCATATGAACAGTATAATACTACATATAGTAACAATGGACAGCCTTATTCTGATCTTGTTTTTGAGAGAGATTTTTCCAATGCCTTCTTATTACAGATAATGTTCATTTTTTGTTTTTATATTCTCATTATCATATTTAAGAAATCAGTTTTCTAGTCTTTTAAAAGATTTTTATTTTGAAACATTGCTTTGGTGTTCATAGATAAGACCACAAACTTTCAATATTTAATGTAATAATGAAATACATAATTATATCAATATTTTTCTTGTTTTGTGATAGCCACACCTTGCATAAATAATAAGTATTAACAGATTAGTACATGAGAGGTTCTATATTTAGAGCTTCACAAGTATGATCCCATTTAAATCTTCACATCAAACCTGAGAATGAGGTATTATTAATGTCCACTCTAATAATAAATTATCTCAGATATTAAGGACATAAGTATTTGTCTAATTGTCTATAGCAGGTAAGTGACAAAGAAGAGTCAAATCCAGGCAGTTACTGAAACCTGAGCTTTCCCCCCACAATTCTATACCATCACCTCGATCCTAATAAAAACCTTATGGTGTATAATTCTTTTTTCTCTTATATTTTATATGTTAGATTTTATTTACATTTTTAAATCTACATGAAGAAATAAAGCCAATTTGATATTTTCTTTATTAGAGTTGTTCCAATAGGATCACATTTATACATTTAAAAATAAGGACTAATGTTCTTTGAAATTTTTGTGAAAATAGTCACTATAAATACAGCAGAATCACATGCTTTGGAGGAGGTAGTCTTTGAAGACTTTTTTCATTTCCTTCCTTATTTACTGGTCTATTTACATTCTCTATAGACCTTACTTTTCCAAAGCAATTTCAGATCTACTGATCCAGATGAGCTTAAGAACATTGCTGTAAAGGCAGGTTATATTATCCCCATAGTAAAGACAAAGAATTGAAGTCCCCAAAAAACCAGTCTCTTTAAAGTTGAATCCATGCTGGGCTTGGTGGCTCATGCCTGTAAACCCAACACTTCGGGAGGCGGAGGTGACCCAGGGTTTCAAGACCAGCTTGGGCAACTTGGTGAGACCTCATCTCTACAATAAAAATAAAACTAAAAATAATTAGACAGGCATGGTGGCACACAATGGGTTCAGGATCGCCTGAACCCAGCAGGTCAAGGCTACGGTGGCTTTCGTGTTCCACTGCATTGCAGCCTGGGTGACAGAGTGAGAAATCAAAAATAATAACAATAATAATAATAAAGTTGCATCATACTTGGTATATAACTGGCATGTCCATGCACCCAGGTGTGATGTCCCTAGACCGAGCCCTGCTGACCCTGATGGTAGTCCTATGGAAGGATCCTGTGTCCTCCATCTTGAGATTTACAGACCTCTGGGAGAAAAAAAATATGAATGGGTGCCAATCCTAAACTCCCCCTTGAGCAGAGGCAACAGACTCTAAGATTCAGTTGGAGTTCTGGGATGGGTACTCTAATCTCTACAAATCATGCCACTGAAAGACCTTTACACAATGTCCGGTGGATGTGTGAGGTGTGGCAGGGTTAGGGAGTGATAATCCCTATAAGATTGAACAGTAGATTATTTGAGATTGCCCCCAGAGCAAAGAAATACAATCTCCCAAACCTCATGACTTACCCAAATGGTGAAAATAAGTATCACAGTCCTCCACCTATCATCTTTAGTGCATCACACGCTTTAAATTGTCAGACCTTTCACACTGTCTGCCCAGTGACTTATGACTCGTATAAAGCTCAGTGCCCATTGGTTCTTTTCTCAGAGTCTGTCCAATCCCAGGGTTATGAGAGACTACTTTGGTTCATGGTCCTATTATTTCAGACAGTAGCTCCATTTAGTGAGTTCTTCTCCTGATTGCATTTCACCTTTCTGCCATCCTTTTCCAGCTCCATGACGGTCCTACAGGTGGCTGGAACCCCCTGGACAGCGGCTCTGATGGTGTTACCGATGGTACTGCTCAACCCCGTGGTCCAGGGAAGGGCCACCCCAGGTAAGAGCAGAGAGGCTATTCCTGGAAGGTCTGGCTTTGGGGACAACTCCTAGGGGCTGTCTCTCTACAGGACCAGACTTTGAAACTGGCTCTGGGGATTCCTGCCATAGCCCAGTGTTCCTCATCTCCAGCTAGAAAATCAGACTCACCCCTGCCTATAAGATACATTGTTACCCAGCAAGCCTATTCTCTATCTCCGGGAGATGGCACTGTAAGCAGGGAGAGGTGCCAAGAGGTCAGGATCCTTATCTTGGGGACATAGGGCCAATAAGGCAGGGATAACTTTAGAGCAACAAGGTTTCCAGAGAGAGGGGTTAACAAGTTCAGCCTCCTGGACATCCTCACATCTGCGTCACAACCTTGAGGGGATTCAGGCAGAGAGCCCTCAACTGGGGTGTCCAGGCTCTGAGGATCACTCAGCCAATTCGGTGGTCAGGAAAAGGGCCTCCCATTCTCCAGGGCAGAGCAGGAGTCCATGACCTTTAATACTTATGGCAAGACGAGAGGAAGGAGATGAGACAAGATCTACCTGATAGCATTCTCGTTGAGGGTATTTCCCCCAACCTTCTGGGAACTTGGTTAGAGTATTGGGGTGGGTTGACATTTGCAGAGGGAATGAGATGAGGGTGTGTAGGTATGTGAAAGGAACCTAATATAGGTTATCAGACAGCCAAGGAGAAGTAACTAAGGGAAAGACTTCTTCCTCCTGCTGCCTCCCTGTGGCTGGTGTAATACTATGGCTTCTACAACCTCGTTTCTCTCTCAGAAGGCTTCTTAACTTTCTAGTCCAAATCTACACCAACACCACGAGAGAAAGGGCTGTAAAATATGTTAGTTTTCCACTGACTTCCACTTTTCCCGCAGAGACCCTTCTTCTTTTAGACCACCAGGACACAACTAGGATTTACTGTCCTCATTTTACTTCCTCATTTTCCAGGGGTAACAGCATTTGAATCTCCTGAGTATGGCCCCTCAAACCCCAAGGCCCTCACCTATCACCTCAGATTTACTGTTTGAGAAGGGAGGAGAACTTGCACTTGTGGTCATAGAGATGTGCTGAGAACCAACTAGCAGGACAGCTCAGCTGTGGGAACTGGAGAGGGGTGAGGCTGGAAAGATAGGAAGCTGGAGCACTGTTTGATGATACCAAATCAGCATCCATCAGCAGTCGAGGGGAGGCAGCACTAGCCTCTCATAGGAGGAAACCATCAAGGAAACCCAGGTGCAGAGTGAACAGAGAGCAGCAGTGTGGGCAGTGAACCAGGTGGAGAGGCAAAGGGTAGATTGGGATTGGCAGGGGGAATGCGATGAGGATGTGTGGGCATGAGACAAGGACTGAGGGCCAGTTACCAGAGCATCCTGCCTAGAATGAATGTTCAATCAAAACCACTGAATTACAGTGGTTTACGCCTGTAATTCCAGAACTTTAGAAAGCCACAATGGGAGGATTGCTTGAGCCCAGGAGTTCAAGACCAACCCGGACAATATAATGAGACCACATCTTTACCAAAATTAAAAAATTGGCTGGCTTCGGTGGCTCAGTCTGTAATCCCAGCACTTTGGGAGGCCAAGGCGAGTAGATTGCCTGAGCTTGCAGGTTTGAGACCAGCTTGGGCAACTTGGCAAGACCTTGTCTCTACAATAAATAAAAAATTAACTTGGTGTGGTAGCACACCTGTAGTTCTGGCTACTTGGAAGGCTGAGGTGAAGGAGCATCAGAGCCCAGCAGGTCAGTGCTGGGGTGGCTGGGAACATACCACTGCACTTCAGCCTGAGTGATGGAGTGAGACTCCAACTCAAAAAAAAGAAAAGAAAAGAAAAGAAAAATTACCCAGAAGTGGTGGAATACACCTATAATCCTAGCTTCTCAGGAGGCTGAGATGGGAGGATCACTTGTGCTTAGAAGTTTGAGGTTATGGTGAGCCTTGATCATGCCACTGCACTGCAATCTGGGTGACAGGATGAACCCCTTAATTAAAAATAAAAACATAATACAAATAATTTTTTTTAAAACCTGCTAGAAGAAGCACTGGTGCTAAAGGGGAGTATACGTAGAGTGGTCAGGGCAACTCCACAATTCCCTTCATGCGTCTCCAGCTCCACCCTGATCCCCAACCTCAACAGGGAAAAAGAGAAAAGGCTTGAGGAACCAGGCTTTGACTTAAAGGGGCTGGGGGAAGCAGAGCTTGATTGAGAGGACTCCTAAAGGGCATCAGGTGATGCAGCACATGGGCCTAGAGAAACCAGACTCATGGAGGCAACACCCTTTGGACTCTGAGTTTTAAAATAGGCCTTTCCAACTGAGTTCCCCTGTCAACACACCCCCTACCCGGGCTTCAGGGCCACACTCCCAGTCCTCTTGTCACACCAGAAGCTCATTCTGCAAGTGATACTCTGTGTGCTTACTCTTCTGTCATTCCCATCTCCCAAGTAAAATCCCTAGAACCAAAGAGAGTGGAAGAGTCAGCAAAGAGTCAATAAAACATACTTCATGGACTTTTTAGAGTTTCTTCTTACGTTCCAGGTATATCCATCATTCTACTTGTTGGTTAACTCATTCACTGTTTTAGATGCTGGATATAACAAGAAGATAGTAGGTATTTACCTTGAGAGGTGAATTCATTAATTTACCTGAGCACGAAACAAATGTGCAAACAATCACACCACCTTAATATGCTCACTGTGATCAAGAACAGAGCAGGCCTGAGGAGACTCAGACAGAAGCAACAAAAATGCACAAGTCCACTGCTGCTTGTGTGTAGATATACACCCGCCAGACATGGCAGTGGCAGGCAGTCCTGAGAAAGAACAGCATGTGGGAAAGGCTGCCTTGTACTGTTCCACAAAAATTGCATCATCAAGGCCTCTTAACACAGGAGTCCACCCTGGTTGTGGTGGTGATTTTCATCAATTAAGGGACATTCCACACCTTTTCATCAAGCCTTTCTACAGCCATGTTTGAAAAGTGAAAAAAAATCCATGAACTTTTAGGCTAGAGAGTCTTTCTTATACCAAGCTTTAAGAAAGTTTTAACAAATCTATTTCTACATTTCCAGCACTCAACACAACAAGAGCACACTGGGGTATAGTCAAGATACTGGCAGAAAAGACAGAGCACTTAGCTGTGGAAAAGAGAAAGAAATAAGGGAAGGCTTCATGGAGGAGGTGACATTTGAGCCAGGATTGTCACCAGGATGGAAAAGTCAGGCAGGGAGTTGAGGGAGAAAGGACAGCTCCGCCCTCCATTCCCCCTCCTGCCCCTGCTGCTTCTCTCCTGGCCTGGTGGATTCTGTTCCACCAAAAGGCCACGTGAAAGGCTGCCCTCCTCCTCCAGGTGGGAGACGTGACGGCCTCCTCCTCACATCTCATCTCTCTGGGATCCCTGAGTCACCCCTGAGCAGCCAGTCGCCCATTTCAGGAAACCCTGGCCTTTATGGGTGAGAAAACGGAGGCCTAGCAAGGTTCCGTGGCCCGCCGAGGACGGCATAACCCGGTATCAGGAAAACAGTGTGAAAATCCAACCCTGAGGGGATTTGAGGAGAACGAATCGTTGACGTTGGGAGGGAGACAGCCGGAGATGGGGAGGGCAAGGACGCCCCGTCTCAACGCCGCCCCCGCTCCCCGCAGAGAATTACCTGTTCCAGTGTCGGATGGAGTGCTACGCGTTTAACGGGACGCAGCGCTACGTGGAGAGATACGTCTACAACCGGGAGGAGTTCGTGCGCTTCGACAGCGACGTGGGGGAGTACCGGGCGGTGACCGAGCTGGGGCGGCCCACAGCCGAGTCCTGGAACGCGCAGAAGGACGTCCTGGAGACGAAGCAGGCCGCGGCGGACACGATGTGCAGACACAACTACGAGCTGGACGAGTCCTTCACCCTGCAGCGCCGAGGTGAGGGCTGCAGCCAGGTCCAGGGAGCGGGGACAGCCGCGACCCAAGGGGCCGTCGCGAGGCGCGGGAAGGAACTGGGGGCCGATGGGGGAGCGGGGCCAGCCCGGGGCGTGTCCGGGAGCAAGCGCGGCACCCGGGCTGGGCGGGGCGTGGCGAGAGCGACGGTGGTGTGGTCAGACCCGGGGACTGACTCCGGCCCGGCTGTGGACGGGGAAGCGGGGAAGGAGGCGCCGGGACAACTCGCAGGGGGTCCTGTGGCGGTGGGCACGAACCCTCCTGGCCCGGCAGGGCAAGCAGGGAAGAAACTTGTGGGGGAGGCGGTCGGGCGTGAGGGGCCTGAGGGGTCGCAGTGGGCCGCCTGCTGGGCGGGTGGAGGGAAGGGTTCACGGCCGGCCGGGGTCCTGGCTGGATGACTCATCCGGGGCGAGGGGTCCGGGGGGACGAGGGCCAATCCCTGATCCTGGGAGCCGGCCCTTTGCGAAGTTGGCTGAGAGCAAAGCCTGTGAAGGGGACAAAAGCCAAGGCGGATGTGAGGGGGACCGGCCGGGAAGCCTCCTGGACGCCGGGGATTGGGGAGCGACGAGTGTGGAGCGTCTGCGCCTCTGCTGAGACCCTTTTGATTTGTCTTGGATTCCCCGTGGCGGGCGGGGCGGTGTCCGAGCTGAACTGTACTTTTCCTTCGGGAAGTCTGAGTGCAGAGTGGAGAGGAGAGGTGAGATGTGTGCAGTCAAGAGCGTCATGGCTTGGAGGGTGGGGAGCTTGATGCCCAACCTGGGAAAACCTAAAGGAAGAGCATGGGGAGTGGGGTGGACAAAACAAGGACCTTTGACCTAGAGAAAGAGGAAAGAATAAAGAAGGGAAAGAGAGAGGCTGGGGAGGTCAGATCTTTGTTCCCTCTCTTCCCGGGAAGGCAACGTCAACTGAGAGTGAGACAGTGGACAGAATTGGGTAGGGATGAAGAGAGTGACATGGGTTTAGGAAGTTGCTGAGGTAACTAGTTGAGAAAAGTGTCCAAAGAAGAGTAATAAAATTGGCAAAAACAATTACTAAGACTTTGAATTGACACAGATCAGTGCGTGGCATCATTTTCTTTCACATTAATCAGCTGCCAGATGCGGAGAGCCTTGGATGCCAGCCTAAGGGGTTTGGGCTTATCTTCTAGCCAGTGGCCCCCCAATTACTGTTCAGAAGACTCTCCCAGGTGTCTTCAGTAAAGCAGATTTCCCAGATTCACGGCCCTCAGATTCAGATTTCAGGGGTATTGAGGACTGGAAATCTGTTTTTCATTAGCTCCCTAGTGATTCCCAAATGGTCAGGTAGGTGTCCGGACGCCAAAGGTTTTTGAAAACATGGAAACAACAGTTTTGGAGGTGTGTCTTCAGAAGAGTGAAGTGGGTTAGGGAGAGGAGAGGCTGGAGTTAGATCAGGTAAGAAACAGTTATTATTGTCCAGAGAAATAGTAAAGAGGGTATGTATTAGAATCGGGAAAAACACAGGGGCAGGTGAGAGGAGCAAGGCAGGACAGATTTGTGACAATTCCAATGTGGATACCCAACTAAATCTAGAAGTAAGTGAAGAGATGTTTTTGTGGGCAGGAGACAAGGCAACTAGAGAAACAGGAATCCTTGCCTTTGTGAAATGTATTTGAACTGGGTGGTAAAGGAGACCAGTGAGTATCGGGCCTTAGCTCCAGCGCCCCCTGGAGAATCTCTTATGTACTCCAGGCTGACTGGCTCCTGTCAAGGAGTACTGAGCAGAGTACCTCTTAAAATAGACATCCAAGTATACCCCTTGATTTTCATGCTTCCCAGCAGTGCAATGGGGGAAGAAATTAAATGTAAACCGCAATTGGGATTCAGACATGGGTTGATTAGTCTGTTGGACTTTGGGTTTATAGAGGTGATTGAAGTAGAGTGAGAGACAAGGTGCCTCTGAAACAAAACCACATTGCGGGAGGAAGACTGGCAAATTGGATAAGTCTGGAAACAAGGCAAAAATATCACAAAGAGCTGTGGATTAGTTCAAGACTGTACTTTTACCTGGCCCTGCCCCATAAGGGTACTTGTATTCTCTGAAAAATAGAAAGTAGAAAGGAAAGAAATTAAGACCTAGAAGCTCTGATTTGGGACATTCCTCTGAATGAGCTGTTCTCTAGAGGCAATAGACTTTTTTCTGCCTTCTGAGGAAAACAGTGTGGGTGCAGAAGTTCAGAAGAAAAGCTGAACCCATCCGATGCAGTGGCTCATGCCTGTAATCCCAACACTTTGAAAGGCCAAGGCAGGAGGATTGCTTGAGCCCAGGAATATGAGACAAGCTTAGGAAACAAAGCAAGACCTCATCTCTACAATAAATTTAAAAATTAGCCAGGAGTGGTAGTGCGTGCCTGTAATACCGGCTACTCGGGAGGCAGAGGAGGGAGGATTGCCTGAGCCCAGAAGTTTGAGGCTGTGGTGTGCTGTGATTGTTCCACTGTACTCCACCCTGGGAGACAGAGTGAGACCCCAATGAAGAAGAAGGAGGAGGAGGAGGAGGAGGAGACTGCAGACAACAAGGTGGAAATTGACCCACGACAGCAGAACAAGGGGAGAGAACTACAAATAGAGAGATAGAGGGACAGGCAGCATCTGATTATCTGTGTGACCCTCAAAGGACCCAAAAGACACATCACAGAGGAGGAACTTGGAAAACAACAGGACTTGGACTAGTTAAGAATGTAGGGGCTCAGAATATTTGGTTTTGTGATATTAGTGTAGATAAGAAGTTTTTGAATTTTTGTAGGTCAGGTCAGAAAATACATATTTTACTTGCTGATAAGTCATGTCAAGCTTGCTTCATTTTCTTTGTGTTTTTATGAAATAAAGTTATTGGATTAATAGACCTAGAGAATGCATTGTCTGTAGATCTAAATTTTAAGAAATTGTTTGAGTTATTTTTACATCCTTTGCATCAATATAGAACATTGGATAGATAGATAGGTAGTTTCACAGCTGATTAAATATTCTTTGTCCAAAGGCTAATCATTTACTTATAATTAAAATTTCTCCTAAACAGGTTACAGAGTGCTGCTTTTGTCTCATTTCTATTCTTGTCAGTACTTGTTATTTACTTCAAGAGCATGCATGTTTTATTTGAGGGTCCGTTTCTATCTTTTCAGTGCCACCTTTATGCACTAGCCTAATCACAACATTTTTATTTTAAACATTGAAAAATCAATTCCACAATGAACATGTCCAAAAAATAATGATATCAAATGCTATCCAAATTTTTCTTCCCCACTCCTAGTCCAGCCTAGAGTGAACATCTCCCCCACCAAGAAGAAGCCCCTGCAGCACCACAACCTGCTTGTCTGCCACGTGACAGATTTCTATCCAGGCAGCATTGAAGTCCGATGGTTCCTCAATGGACAGGAGGAAACAGCTGGAGTTGTGTCCACCAGCCTGATCCGCAATGGAGACTGGACCTTCCAGATCCTGGTGATGCTGGAAATGACCCCCCAGCAGGGAGACATCTACACCTGCCAAGTGGAGCACCCCAGCCTGGACAGTCCTCTCACTGTGGAGTGGAGTGAGTTACTCCCTGCTGACCTTCTACACCCCAACTCTGAGGCGGGAGAGGACTCTCTGGCTCTAGGGTCCACACTCATCTTATGTGTCTGTACCCTGAGGCCATGTCCACCCTTATCCTTCTTCTCTATAAGCCCCTGAGTGTAGTTTTAAGCTGATGACAGTGGAGACTTGCCTAGCCCTCTCCTGGGGAATCCTGAGGATACATGGTTCTCCCTACTTGTCAGAGAATCTAGGGAATCAGACACCTTCCAGAATTGCCCTCACACATGGAAACCTCTCTTCTTTCAGACTTTTAACCTATTCTAAGTTATTTTAAAAGGCAACTTCCAAAATATGCATTTGATCCCTTGTTAAGGTCACACACTAACATCTAGAAATGAGGGGTAAGTCTCTTTAAATTTCCTCCTTGTCTAGGAATATCCCCCTCACTTTCCTCCTGCCAATATTCTACATCAGATACCAAGCTCAGACAGGACCTGAGCATCGGTACAGCTAGTGGAGGTGACACTGATCTTGGGTCTGTTCTTCCCAGAAGCGCAATCTGATTCTGCCCGGAGCAAGACACTGACTGGAGTTGGGGGCTTCGTGCTGGGTTTCATCATCTTTGGAGTGGGCATCTTCATGTACAGGAGGAGCAAAAAGGGTAAGGATGCCTACAAGGCAACCAAGACTTGCCTTCCTCTGGCTTACTCACCCATTTTCCATGATAAGGCGCTGAAACAGAAAAGCAATGCCAGATAGTCTGGAGGTCACTAGAATAAGTCATTGAACCAAGACAGCCTGTAGGGAGAGAGGATCCCAGTATGGGATCTTAATGCAACCAAGTGCTTGAGGTCCAGTTGCTCAGGCTTGTTCAGGACATCCATTAAGACATGGGCAATGGAAGATGGGATGGAGAAATTTTTCTGGGCCAGGTGTGATGAATCATGTCTCTAATCCCAACACTTTGGGAGGCCAAGGCAAGAGGATTGCCTGAACCCAGGAGTTCAAGACCAGCCTAAGCAACATAGTGAGATTTCATCTCTACAAAAAGTTAAAAATTAAAAACAAAAACAAAAAGCTTAGCCAGAAATAGTCCCAACTACTTGAGAGGCCTGAGGCAGAAGGATTACCTGAGCCGGTGATCGTGCCACTGCACTTCAGCCTGAGTGACAGAGTGAGAAACTGACTCAAGAAAAAGAAAAAAAAGTGTCTCTGATTTTCTCAGTTGGTTTCAATAACTGAAAACATTCCCTTTCCTCCTTTCATTTCAGTTCAACGAGGATCACAATAAACGGGTAACATTCCTGCTTCCATTTCCTTGGGTGGGGGGGTGGAGTATGGAAGGATATAAGTGCCTTCTTTGTGTTATGATGCTGAGGCACCTCTTGGAAAGAGAGGCTTGAATGTTTCTTTCCACCTAAACCCTTGGATGAGTGGGGCTTGGAAAGAGCATTACTTGGTTCTAGTATTGGAGGAAGCTGAGATAAACCCTGTTCTTTATCAGAATGAGAGTCAGTCTGTCGCCCTAATATTTCTCCCCTGGGACTAAGAGAAAGTGGGCCAGCAACCTGGGGTAACTTTTCCTTTTACCCCCACAGGGTTCCTGACCTAACCAGAAAGAAAATGTGCCTTAAAAGAAGTATTTTTCTGCATTTCTTTAGTCATGGATGTTGGTTCTGGGACAGACCTCCAGCTTCCCAAGCAGATGTTGCTGTCCAGTGATTGTTCAGATGCTGGTTCTGCTCTTTGATTCAGTGCACAGTTTCTCTGATGGGGCCTCCAACCAAGTTTCCTTCTCCTTAGCTTCATAAAAAAATCAAAACCCAACGCTATTGTTTGTTTCCTTTTAAGAGTATGCACCAAATCATCTCTGGCATGGCTTTTGTTTGAGGGTCTTAGTCAACAGTAGAAACTCATAAGGAAGTTCACTGTTGTTTACATGTAAGCTAGAAGAAAATGGGGATTTCCTAACTATCGTATAAGGTGGCCAGTTGGATGTGGCCCTTTTCTAAATTGACTGTATTTCATTGGGCTGCCGCATAATTAAGTCTGGTACCTTCATCCATTGAGGTCTGGGACCATTATTCACATAGCACTGATTCACTGTATAACTTATTACGAACATGTTTTACCATTACTGCTGAGAATTTAAATGAAGATCAGAACTTAAAATGATGAATGTAATCTAATAAATATTAAATATTTTCTTTACATACCATTATAAACACTCCCTAACCAGGTGTAGCTTGGCCTTTTGAATGCATCAGGTAGAAGAGACTTATCCCCTAAATCCTCACTCATCCACCTACCTAGAATTCCTGTGCTAATATTTGATACAGAGGGAAATATGTCCCCATTGTTAGAAGACCAAAGCCATACATGTGGCACTCTTTTTCAAACACAAGTCTTTTTTAATAATCCCAAATTATTATGGGATTTGCATTTCATATTATGTTATCTTTAAGTCAAGATAGAGGACATATTTGGTCTAAGCTCTCCTTCGTGTATACATTATAGATTCTTGCAAACTACCTACTGGTCTAAAGAAGGTCTCAGGGATGCCGGCAATGTCTATTTCTTGACTGACGTACTCGTTACATGGGTGTTTGCTCTGATAATCATTGGCTGTACATTATATTGGTTGGTGTGTTTCTTACAAAAGTCCTCTAGTTCACAGTAAAAAGGGTTTAAAAAGAGACATAAAGGAGGATATTGGTAATTTGAAGTAAAAGCAAGAAATCAATGAAGCTAGCATAAATATTGAGTTGTAGTAATGATTGGAATAAAGAACATCGCTGGGTACAGTGGCTCATGCCTATAATCCCAGCACATTGGGAGGCTAAGGCGGGAGGATTGCTTGAGCCCAAGAGTTCAAGACCAGCCTAGACAACATAATGAGGCCTTGTCTCTACCAAAAAAAATGAAAAAATTAACCAGTCATGGTGGTGTGTGCCTGTAGTTTCAGCTACTTGGGAGGTTAAGGTGGAAGGATTGCCTGAGCCCAGGAGGTAAAGGCTGAAGTGAACCATTGGCAGACCACTAAACTCCAGCCTGGGTGACAGAGTGAGACTCTAATACAGAAAATAAAAAAGGGAACATAATAGATGAGATAACAAGTGGGACTTTCACAACTGAAGAATAATTTAAAAACAAAAAGTCTTCCAAAAACAGCATGAAAGATTAAACAATAGGAAATGTAAAGAAAAAGCTAAGATCAATGAAGAATAGAAACAGATGTCTGACATCTTGATAATTAGACATCTACCATCCTGAATGTACCTAATCTCATCTAGAAAGTCATGAAAATAGTAGAAGGAGAGAAAATTCTAAGCTTTAAAGAAAGATGAAGTTATTGAGTTCAAAATAGTGCAAACAATGACAGACTTTTTAAACAAACTTATTAGGCAAAAGAAGACTGAAAACAAGCTAATTATCTCCATTAAGATGGAAAAGTAGAAAACAGCAAAAACAAAGAAATAAATAATAAAGACAAGGACAGAATTCAATAAATTAGAAAACAAAAAGTAGGAAAGATTAAATCGAATTTTGAGTCAATAAAAGTTTAATGAAGTTGACAGACCTCTGACAAGACTGCTGGGGGAATTATAGGAGATACAGGATGAAAAGGGGGAATGACTTTATATACAAACATTTGAAAATAAAAAAACTTAGGCCAGGGCCAGTAGCTCCGCCTATAATCCCAACATTTTGAGAGACCAAGGCAGGAGGATTGCTTGAGGCCAGGAGTTCAAGGCCAGCTTGGGCAACATAATGAGACCTTATCTTTACAAAAAATAAAAAAATTAGCTGGGTATGGTGGCCCATGCCTGTACTGTAGCTGCTCAGGAAGTTGAGGCAGGAGGGTTGTTTGAGTGCAGGAGATCGAGGCTACAGTGAGCTGTGATCATGCCACTGCATTCCAGTCTAGGCAACAGATTGAGACACTGTCTCAAAAACAATGATAATAATAAAATAAAAGGAAAAAATGCACAACCAACTTTATGCCTATAAATTTGAAAATCTAGATAATATGTATATATTTCTAGAAAGATATAAAAGTCAAAACAAGAAGAAGAAACAAAAAACTAAAACAGAGTAAGGAATATCAAAGGAATTGAGGCCGGTCTCAGTGGCTCAGCCTGTAATCCAAGCACTTTGGGAGGCTGAGGCGAGTGGATTGCCTGAGCCCACGGACTCGATACCAGCCTGGGCAACTTGGCGAGACTTCATCTCTTCAATAAATGAAAAATGAGCTGGAGCCCAGCAGGTCAGTGCTAGGATGGTAGTGAGTGTGTCACTGCACTCCAGCCTGAGCAAAGGAGTGAGACTCCAACTAAAAAAAAAAAAAAAAAGCAAGAAAAGAAATTGAAACAAGAAGCAAAGAATAGCTTTCCTATCCTGATAATATTGCAGTTGGGTGAGTCCTCCTGTATGTCAAGGAACAGATCATGCTGCTCTCATTTGTGTGGTTTTAGAAGAAAGGAATAAAGTTTCCACATCATTTTACAGGGCAGGTGCATCTTTATTTCCAGAGCCAGCTAAGAGCAGTACAAGAGAAGGAAATTATGGGGCCGGGCATGGTGGCTCACGCCTGTAATCCCAGTACTTTGGGAGGCAGAGGCAAGAGGATTACCTGAGATTAGGGATTCGAGACTAACCTGAGCAACATGGTGAGATCTCATCTCTACAATAAATCAAAAAATTAGCCAGATGTGGTGGTACACACCTGTGTCCAACTACTTGAAAGACTGAGGTGGAAGGATCACCTGAGCCCAGCAGGTTGAGGCTGTGATGGCATGAGCATGCCACTGAACTCCATCCTGGGTGACAGAGTGAGACTCCAATTCAAAAACAAAACAAAGCAAAATAAAAACAGAGAATGAAACTGTGGACTAATTTTACCCATATCACCACATCCAATCGTGCATTACAAAAACAATTTATTTTTATCAAGTAATATTCATTATAGGATTGCAATGATAATTCACTGTCAGAAAATCTATAATGTGATTAAAAGAAATTCTTAAAAAGGAAAATTTGTATTAATTTCAACTGAATTCAATGCAATACATAAACAGAATTTGTTAATTCAACCACATCGTAAGGATAATAAACCAAAAATCTATAGCAAATATGTTTGTTTGTTTGCTTTTGAGTCAAAGTCTCACTCTGCTGCCCAGGCTGGAGTGCAAGTGGCACACTCACAGCCACCGTAGCCTCGACCTGTTGGGCTCAGGCGATCCTTCCACCTCATCCTTCCAACTAGCAGAAACTACAGGCTCATGCCACCACGTCTGGCTAATTTTTTGATTTATTGTAGAGACGAGGTCTTGCTAAGCTGCCCAGGTTGTTCTTGAACCCCTGAGCTCAGGCAATCCTCTCGCCTCCACCTCCCAAAGTGCTGGGATTATAGGCGTGAGCCACTGCATCTGGCTGCAAATATGTTTATAGAGAAATTAGATCCATTACCTTCGAGATTGCACAAAAACTAGAATGTCATTTGTTGTAGCAAATGTTTAATATCATATTGGAAATTCTGGTCATTACTATAAGGACAAGAAAATCAAGACTTTGAAGACTTTAGAAGAAGTATAATGGCTGCAGATGATATAATCTACATGCTGGATAAGACTGCAGCTGCTGGAACAGCAATGCCTGGATTCAAACTCAAGCTCTGCACTTTGAGGCTGTTTGACCTTCACCTTTCCTTGTGTCTGCTTCCCCCTCTGTAACATGGGAAAATACCTGGCACTGCCCTCCAAATATAAATAAGTAAATACATAAGAAGCAATTCGAATAGAACCTGGAACATAGTAACCCACACAACCGATGTTATGTATCATTACATTTGTCAATGGTTTCATCTAGTTCAGTGGCTCTAAAATATAAAGAACCTCTATTGAAAGAAACCTCTTGCTCAAAGAACCCCTGTTGAAGAGTTACTCCTTCCCATTCACCACCCATAACATGCTACCTCTTCTTTTCCACTGTATTCCTAATATACCTCTGGGATAACTCACAGGGGCCTCTGGACCTGGGATCAGATTGCTTGATCTTCAGGACAGTGGTGTCAGTGATGACCCCCACCAGACCCTGGGGCACAGACCATAGTCTCCACAGTCTCAGGCACCTAAATCCACTCTTAGGCCTGGGACAGAAGGAAGCACAAAGGAAAGGTAGAGTTAGAAGGTGTCAATAAAGGGGGGACCAAAGGGAGATCCAAACTTTAACTGTGTGAGAACCACTTATCTACCTAATTCTGAATTGTACCCCACATCTTAAATAAAATAAAATATAATAAAAAGGTGCCAAGAGCAGGCCTCAGAAGCTGTTGGGTATTTGAAACCAGAAGATGGCGAAGTTTGAAAAAAGGGACAATAAAACATGGGATTAAGAAAAGCAATTGCAAGGGGGAGGAATGGGTTCTAAAAATGAAGGGTGGCAAGGGGAGGACTGTCCATACGCTCGTGCTTGAGTATTGGGATTACAGGCGTGAGCCACCACACCCAGCCTAAGACAGTTTTATTGCAAGCAAGAAAAACAGAGCAGAATAAGCTAGTACACTCCTAAGAATCAAGAGGAGCGGGCTGTTCAGAGAGTGAGCCCTGTTTTCTTTGGTTTCGTTGCTTACAGTTTACTTTTCTTTGTCTTAGTCTCTGGTCTCGGCTGGTTAGTTTCCTCTCAGGCTTCTTTTCCCTCTTTATGGCCAAAGAAAAGGAAATCTTTCATGTGATCTTTGACATGAACTCATGTTTAGATAGTGTTAATTCTACCTGGTTAAAGTTACAAGTGTCTTTAAGCAATTTGGGGGCTATG